GGCGGGCCGGCGGCGGCCCCGGGTTTGTAAAGGGCGTTCTGCTGAGCGCTGGGGGTTGGGTGTCACTGGCAACACACAGGCTCTCGGCATGGTGATGGTGGTAGTGCATGCCCATGAATTGCAAATGCAAGGACCGAAGGGAGGCTGGGAAGGTGGGAGGGAGAGCAGGGGAGAACGCCCCGGGGGTACCCTGCCCCCGCCCAACCCGCCCCGCCCCGCGCTCACACCACAAGGGGCGGGTGGGAGATCAGGCGGGAGAGATAAGAGGAACAAGGCAAGGGGAGAGACACACGGTGGTGTTCTTGCGTCGCTACGCACCAGCACCTCCTCCCCCAACCCTTCCCCCTCGGCGCCCTCATGTGGAGAGCGGCTGCAGACTACGGCAGCGCGGGGCTCAGGCCGTCTGCAGGACAAGGAGCTAGCTGCGCGGCGTCTCTTCTATCCAGGTACTTCCCCGGGCGGTGGAGGACGCTCGTCGCCTCAAAGGGAAGCCGTGTAACGCTTCTAATGGGCGCCGGAGCGCACAGAGTCTGGGTGGGCAGAAGACAACGACGCGAAAACCGAAGCGGATACTCGATTTATTTTACTCACAGCTGTTAACCAGTTTTATGGGTTCCGACGTCCAATGGCATCTAGATGTGGGCAGCCTGGGCGGTGTGGGTCGGCGGAGAGTGGGGTCTGTGGCTGGCTGAGCCGATTGGGAAGCGTCGCCATAGCAGCCTGTGAGGCGAGACAGTTAAAAACATTAAAGGAATAACATTATTTATTTTAAAATTTAAAATTTAAATAGATGACGAGGGGAATTAGGCGTTACTTATTAAGGTAAACATTTCTTCGTCACGCGTAAAACAGCAATGTCATTTGATTCATGCCATTTTCACGTGTCTCAGTTCATTTTCTGGCTCACCCGGTACACGTTCTCATGGCAGTCGGGTCGGGGGCGACTCGGCAGGAAGGATACAATATTGTGACCCACCGGATAATCCTACAAATTTATGCTGGTACCGCATCGCAGCAGCCGGGGGTGCGGCGGCGTGAGCTCGGGCGGGGCTCGGGCGGAGGTCGGCCCTCGGGGTAACAGATTCATTGTGTCGGGGTCCGGCCACCCGGGGTACATTGGCCCTCGGGTCCCTGCAGCCCTCCCCTCCAGGAGGGCGTAGCGACCCAATATCGGACCTGTTCGCTCCAATGCCTTTGTTTTCGGGGAGCAGACTTGTAGTTCGGTTGCGGTGAGAATAGGTGCAGTCTTGGCGTGCGCTATGGAATGAAAGAGCCCCGCCTTTGCTAGATATACTCACAGATGTGAAATGATAATGCGTTTTTACAATCCACTGGCACGAGCAAGGCCGCCTACAACACATATCAGATTCACGCCTGCCTAGAGAGGTAAAAAAATCCATATAATACAGGAATTTTACTGGTCGCGTGCACAAGAAACAAGGAACGGAACAATCACGGGCAAAAAAGAACTAGCTAAATTGGCATTCGTTAATGTGGCCGTAGATTAGAATATTAACTCTCCTAGCTAATTCATAGCTAAGAGAGCAAACACATTAGCTTTCAAAGCTAGTTGCTCTATTTTGTAGACAACTGTCATGGCTAATTTTTAGCTCTCGTAGCTAAGAATTAGCGAGGGGAGCTCATATTCTAATCTAAAGCCATATTAGCGAATGCATTACCTAATTTAGTTAATCCTTTTTTTCCGTGATACAAAACGAAATCTGGGCATTTTAACCCATTTTATAGACCACACGGCATGATACACATGACAAAGTTTGCAACGAATAAGGAATAAAGCTATCACCCTAAAAAAATATAATCATTATATTTCAGAAATACCAGTTGTCGGTCGATGCCTCTTTCGAAGTGCACCTCAAACTACATACTTAATACTAAATGTCATGGTTGCTCTACGTACTTTTTAACATATACTTTGCGTCGGTCCTAGTCTCCTACTTCCATCCTCTACATTTCGCTGGTGTACATAGAAGGACTCCCCTCCCCCTCTCCCCCCATTTTCCGATCTTTGCGTGTTTTCGTAGCACACTCTCCTCCCTCCCGCCTTGCAGCACCATTAAGGACCAAAAATACTGCGAGTGCCTTTCCCTCCCGCGGATACGAGGGAACCGAACTCCGGCGGCAGCCAGCGCCGAGAGGAGGACGTCCCACGCAATAGGGAGAGGAGGACCGCGGGGGCAGAGGTGAGGGGGTTGCCGGCTTGGTGGGGGGAGGGCGGGGGGAGACGCGGCCACATCTTGACCTCGACGGCTTGACTGATTGAGCCCGACGCCGCCT